AATGTAGGAGACATTCCAGATGTTTTGGAAGTTACGGGTCAAACAAAATCGCTGCTGCGAGGCTGCAGGCATTAGCCCTGCACTCTCTGCTATAGATCTAGTCCCAGTATAGAAGGATTCAAGTCACCACAAGCAAGTCAAATGCAGTAGGCTTGCAGGGGCCTCTGAGTTGCTTCCAGCTGCTTTTGCATTCACATGGACTAGTTTAGGGAAGAAAAGTAGCTTAAGAGCAAACAAAAACCCAGCTACCTCAGCCCCAAGGCTATTATGGTAATACTGAGGCAGATGTAAACCTGAAATTAATTATATTTAGTTTGTTAAAGCAATGTGCATCATAAACAACTGACATCTTGAATAGCAAAATGCTTGTTATTATCCAACGTTTGTTACATCTCAGTGTTGCCGTTTTTCTGCAGTCTCTTTGCAGTCACTTCCAGTCTACATGCACTCCAGCGATGGCTGCCATGGCATTTGTCAGAGCGGGTTTTCTACAGCCGAGTGATACACAAATAAAATACATTTTTGTTAATAGTTGAGGTTTAACTCCTGAGTTTAGTGTCGCTGCAAACAAACGAAATGCTCTCCGGGTCGTGTTTACATCTACTTCAACAGAGTAAATAAATACTATTTCTGTAACCATGGACAGCTGTAGATCCTCCAATCATCTCTGAATTGGTGCTCACACTGTCCTTCCTTCTGGAGGGTGGCTACTTTTGTTCCCCATGGTCCCTGTGTGTGTTGTAAGGTAGTCACCGCTCCAAGCTCGCTCCTGTCATAGACTACAAATAAGTAAACGAAACATGAGATTGTAGTCCATCACAGGAGTGAGCTTGGAGCGGTGACTACTTTACAACACACACAGGGACCATGGGGAACAAAAGTAGCCCCCCTCCAGAAAGAAGGACAGTTTCAGCACCCATTCAGAGATGATTGGAGGATCTACAGCCGAGTGATACACAAATTAGAGACATTTTAGAAAACAGTTATGGTACTTGATGTATTTTTAAGATTTAACTCCTGAGTTTAGTGTCACTTTAAGCAAACTAAACGCTCTCCATTTCGGGTTTACATCTACTTTAACTGAGTAAATAAATCATATTTCTGTCACCAAGGACAGTATGTTCTGTTCTCAGAAAGAGATGGAAGAGCCAGGTGTCATTGACCAAATCCACAATTCTGCCCAGAGGCCACTGTCACTTCTGCTTATGGAATACATTCTGCGAGCCGCATCTCACCCGCCGAAATATCATTTCCATCCATTGAACTAAAAGCGCGTAGGCATCTTGGGAGAGCACAAGTGCTGTATTTATTGTAGACTGTGCTGAGAGCCTAGTAGTGCTTTCTCCTCTGCAGTCGTGTTGCTGTGTGTTTATGTAAATAGGGAAGAAAGAGCCCCTACTTGACCCGTCAAAGCCTGTTTATTTTTCAGCACGCACCACCTCATTCAGGCTTAGCACAAGCATGCAAGTTAGGGAGGGCCGAAAAATAACAAAAGGCCACTCGAAAAACACTAGAAAGTCCACCATTGTCTTCATAAAGGAAGGTTATCTTTTGTCTCAGTTATTTTTAGCTAAACGTGTACAAAGATATCAGCTTGATATAAATCATTTTATCAATACAAGTTAATGCTTCAAAAGCATTTCTACACCTAGTCACATATGTACAAGGAGGCAGCCATCTTTCATTATTACATAGGCAGGTTCTACTTCCTGCTTACAGTTCTACAAAATGTGCTTGATGGCTCCTTCTCACAATACAAGTCAATTGATTTGGCTGGCTTATATAAGTGCACTGGGGCTCATGTTCCCTTCCTTATTATTACTATTATACAGGATTTATATAGCGCCAACAGTTTGCACAGCGCTTTACAATATAATTCATCAGGGCTTACTAAGGGAGAACATGTATCAGGACTGTGATATATTGATATTGGATACCGTTTTGTCCAGTGCACTCCCTGTGTGGCTGATATCTTATCTCATCAATCGTTAGAGTACGTGTAAACCCTAACTGAATGACAGTTAGTTTGATAAAGCACTGTGTATGATATACACAACCATTTTTAAAAATAAAATACTTATTTTTACTTGTTATACCTTCTTTCTTACATCTCAGTGCTGACTATGCTTCCTTTTTGCAGCCACTTCCTATCTACGTGGATTCCAACAGGCTAGGTTCATGTGTCCCGGTTCCGCGCAATCATGTGCTAGTGCACACAGCAGTTGCCACACGGCCCCATTGATTTAAATGGGGTTACATCCGCACGGCAGTCGCTAAAAAAAAGGTACCTTTTTTTTTTGCAAAACACAACGTGCCTTTTTTAGCCACGATCGTGTTCAATTGCATGGGTGGAATCGCAGCGGGAAGCCGCGCAATCCGCCCAGCGCGACTGGGGTGCCATTAGAAAATAATGGAACCCACAGTGCGATTGGCTGTGTTGGGCGGCACTGTGACTGCACGGCAATCCCCGCGGTTTTGTGCACAATTGCTGCACGGTCAGGAGTTGCCCAGCTGTGATGACTGCACAGCATTTCTTAAGGAGGAGGGGGTGGTGACAACACTGGACCATATCATGTGTATTAAAATGTCCATTTGTTGTCACCATTGGAAACCTATGTGACAGGGTGACAACACAGGAGCACAATTGGGAGATGAGGACAGTGTGTTGTCACTATAAAGTCCTTCATGGTGGGATCGCCAGGTATTATTTTAACGAAAGCTGCAGATTCACAAAAGGTTGAAAATGAATTTTAACATGTTAAAGCCTCTATGAGATTTTGATGATTGGATTTACATCTACTTTAAAAGAGAGAGAAAACTGCACTGGGCCCCTGAGAGCTAGCTAGAGTCGTTACTTTACAATTCTCTATATTTAATACAATAACACAAATACAGCAGCGCAAGCTTATACAAATCTGAAAGGCATAAACAATGACCCCAATATTAATGATATCACTGAGAATACACTTTACGGTCTTTACCCTTTAGGACAGAAGGTCATGTGCAGGGCTGGATTTACTCTCCCTCTCTGCTCCCCCAATTCCGGGTCCTCAATGCGCCCCCCTGTATGCAGGCTGCACACAGCACACAGCAGTTGCCACACAGCCCCATACAAAACAAGCGCGGTTTCCCCGCTGTACATTTAGCCCTGCCTACCCAAAGGGCTAAATGTAGAAAACAACTACCCGCCCCGAACTACATGTCCCGGGACATCGGGAGATAGGAATTCCACAGCCCTGCTGCCCCTCTACTCCCTGCTGCCCCAAGGCCGGGCCTCGGTTGGCCTTGTGGGAAATCCAGCCCTGGTCATATGTCATCATATGAATCACTCCGTCAGATACCTCTGTTGGGCTCAGTGAGTACACCTTACACTAAATCAATCCACACAGTCAAAAATTAAATAAAAAATGAATATCCGTAAATATTTTCAGTTCTTAAAAAATATATATTGTACAGTTTGTAAAATATTTATACTCATTTGGAGGATATTATAATAAACAAAGCCATGTGCACCTCCTGTTATGTAACTCTCCCCTTCTAGGTAACCGCTGGCTGTTACAAAGGAGTTCATTGTATAATCAGAGTGACAGAGATATAAATAAAAACAAACAATGGGTTTAGTTTAAACCTTACAAGGGATTGTTGACAAATGTCGGCAGTACAATTATATCTGCTGAATGATTACATATCCATCTGATTTTGGCTCTTGAAGTAATTTAGGAATCCAGTGGACTGAGGAATACAAATCATTCCTGTGCGCCCCTGTATTGCCAACGGCTGAGCACTACGATGGCCTGGAGCTTATAGCTGCTTGACATCTAGAAGGTGATTACAGAGCAGAACCGGAGTCCTCCAATGGTAGTCTAGGGCCTAATTACATAGTTAGTCAGGTTGAAAAAAGACACAAGTCCACCAAGTTCAACCTAATTGCCTAGATGTGCCATCTGTGGGTCGGAACCCACATCTTTTATTTTTTGGTGCTTAAAATTGCTAAAGATGTATTCCATTTCAGTTCTACTAAACTAGAAATGACCCAACAAAATGATTCTAAAGACAGACAACCCCAGTGTATGCAGACATCCTGCCCTTCTTTAAACATTTGATCAGAACTCATGCTGAGCTGATCCATTCATTTCAAAGCTGAAAAGGGACCATCTGTGAGTGGGACAGGAAGCCATAAGAGGCCACTGCCCCGCCAGCCACTACATGATGGCCTTCACCAGTGCATCAAGGGTGAGAAAAGTACTCAACACATCCTGGCACATACATTCTTTAATAACTTAATAACTCATGCTGCGCTAAAGACGGGAAGCTAAAGGAGGAGCATCCCTCAAGGTCCTGTTCATTTTGTAACATTTTGGCATTTGTTTCCCACAATGTGTCTGCTTTCCTTAAAAAAAGACTTTCTTTTCCTAAAAGGAATGGCTCTTTCTTCCTATAATGACAGTGGGATGGGGCAAAAACATCTCTGTATTTGATGTTTGTCACTTTCTGTCTATTTCTTCTACAAAGAAAATCTGACACGATCGCCTGCCTATGTCACTGTTGTCCAATTCCCTGCCATTTCCTTCACGGCTGATACAATAAAAGAAAATCTGATCATATTAGTATATATGAAAGTATACAGCATGCTCTTGTTCCGATTCCGAGTTTGTCGATGGGGGTAACGCACAACACACTTTACATCTCATCTGCGTAGTGCAGGCATAGAGTACCTCATGTGGTGAAGGATGAGAATGACAACCCTGGAACTTGTACATACCATGTCACCTGTATAAATGTCATGGAAGATCCCTCACACTAGTCCTCGCAATGAACTCCTGACCCTCTTTATACATTGTTACAACTCAAATCATTTTGTCGCCAATTCTCCCAGAAGTACTAATCTGCTCCTTCGCATTCTAAAAACCACCAATATCGCTGACAAGCAAACATTTTTACTACTATCAGCAGATAGAATTGGTCTTTGGAAACCTCACGGGATAAATAAAGTGTCTTACTCTCATGTACTGGAAGCGGAATCTCATGAGGCGGATTCGGTTTCGAGCTTCTGCGGCCTTCAGCTGGCCCACCACCTTGGCTTGCCTCTCTTGGTCGAGGTCTGGGATCCGTTTTTGTGTCTCTGACTGGGACCTGAGGGCATGCTCCTTCAGCCGGTTCTGGGTGACGGCTATTGATGCTGCTACCGATTTGCTGGGCTGCACGTAAGCCAAGTGTCTGGCACGCTGCATGGGGTCCATCTTTCCTTGGCTGGCACCTTTCTTCAAAGGTTTGCTTTTCAGCTGATCTTTATCAGATGCCATAGGCAATGTATTCAGTAACCTCAAATGGAACGAAGACAGTTCCTGCAACTAAAACAGAACATCAGTGTTTCCTAAACAATAAGATCATAGTTGAGGTATGAAATGCTAAATACATGACATGAGGAAAATGTTGCCCCAGCTTCCCTGTAGTGCTGCTTAAAGTAGTATTTATCTCCAAAACCTTTTTCAATAATGAATCTAGACCACACAAATATACACTGCCTGGCAATGTAAGTCTTTACATTTTTGCCCAAACACAATCATCATGTTTGCAAACAGCTCCAACTCTCTCAGCTCGGCTTCCTGAACATCCTGTTGAATACGAGATCACAAGGGACAGAACATCGTCTATCTACTAGCTTAGTAAAAAAAAAAGAAGAAAGAAGAAAGGAGAAGAGAGGAGAAGGGAGCGGCGTGCCTTGCTGTCTTTGTGGAGATACACACAGCTTTACTATCACACACAAGGGTGTCTCCATAGGACCCTGCAAGAAAAAGGAGCCACCCTAAAACAGGATATCAGTGCTCAGGGGACCAGCTGATTTTGCTGGAAACTAACAGGGTTATTCACCAAAGGGTGAAGAGTTTTGAGAAGTGAACAGTCTAGGACATAATAGCTGATTTGAAAATTATTCCATTCAGCTTCCTTTGCGATTCAGCTATGTTGTCCTAGATTGATCACTTCCCCTGCCTTCCCCAAACCCTCCACCCTGTAATTTTCGCAAAAAGGCGCAATTACAAATTTGCTAATATTTGTTATTTATTAACTCAATACAGTTTTATCTTTTAGATTTAGTCAGAAAATTATTTTTTTTGTGCACGGATACTGATTTTGGTGTGTTTTAACAATTGAATTGTGTATTTTTATCGGTTTAATATTAATTTGAGAAACATTTGCGCAATTATCGCAGGGCCTACAAATTTAGTATCACCATCTTTTTATTCTACCGGGCCTGCGCTTTCAGAAAATATATGGTTTGGGGGGTCTTTTACAAACGCTAGCAACGCAGCAGTGGAAAATCAAACCAATAGGAAAAAATTGCAGAAAATTCAAAAATGGCTTGGCCAGCTGATTTGAAAAATGTTCCGGAGGGCTTGGCAGCGAAAGGGTTAAACATCAAGAAGCAGCATCCATTGTGAGGGATGCTACATCAGCATTTGACTTTAATATCACTTTAAGTGACCCATAGCCTTGCCATTTGGTTAGGTGATTTCAGCTAGTGGGAAGAAGTATCAATTCTGAATTCTGATAATTCCCTCTATAGGATCTCTTCTCACATATACAGTACTGAAGGAAGTGTGAAGCAGCATTTTCTCCAGGAAAGGTACAAATGTAAGTAAATATAAGCGCCTCTGTTATGCTTTTATTTATTCATCCCTGCAAGCTTATCTTTACTTCAACACCGGAGTATACATCTTCCTTAAAGGAGAACTATGAGACGAGTGCTTTTCACTCACCTCATAGTTCTAGCCGACCTGTGACAATGAGACTGTCACAGGTCGGCTCAGTAGATCGGGAGGTGAGCGAACACATACCGGCGTTCGCTCACCTCTCGATCCTGTCACCGCTCTCTGCCGTGACAGGGGAGGGGATGGATTTCCCACTCCCCGCTCCGATCCGCCAGCGCTGACTGGCGGAACGGACGTGGGAGGGGGCGGGTACAGCTGGCTCTGCCTCTAGATAGGCAGAGCCAGCTGTCACTCATGCAGCTGGGCGGATCCCGTCATCTATGTCGGGATCCGCTCCGGCGTCTCAGTATAGGGCGAGCTGTAGCTCGCGGTATACTGAGCCTAGGGTGACGGGAGGACGCTAGTTTGTGTCCTCCCGTTACCCTAAGGAGAACTATGAGGAAAAACACTGACCCCATAGTTCTCCTTTAATCCTGGGACAGCTATGCACCACCCAAGTCGTCTCAATTCAGAAAACAGTCATAAATGCAAAACTCTCCTATATGAGTTAGCACAACCCACTGACTGCCGAGCTGTGTTCCTACCAGTAGTATAACACAGGAAAAGCTAAAAGGCTTTGAACCTTGTTGGTGGAGAAAACTGTTGAGAATCCCTTTGACTGCAAGAGGAACAAATTAGTCAACATTCAAAGAAAATAAACCTGACAGGTCACGGGGAAAAAACAATCACAGCCTAAACGTCAGATACACCGGCCACCCAACACAATGGAAAAAGACAAATACTGCGACAGACTGAGGGGAAAAAAAGAACAAGTGATGACAGAAGCCAAGTTGGACAGATTTTCCAAGTCATTCTTATGTGGGACTGACAGCTATTGACAGACAGGCTTGGTGTTCCAAAGTCCATGAGGTCTTAAAGAGTACTCATCGTGACTGAGCAGTAACAGCCTGGCCCTCACATGAATCTGGAGATGTGTACTGTGGCTCCAAGGAGATATTGGTGACAAAAAACAGACAGATCTATAAAGAACAATTTTCGATATTTGTAAAAATGTTGTAGCAAGTGATGATGGTTAAGAAGCCCTGTTGGGCTTTTATTGTCTTCACTGGAGTGTTTTTCCTCACTTTTTGTGTGGTCAACACTTTCTTAGTAAGGAAGCATTGAGCTGCTCTCGTTTATATTACTGACAGCAATCAAATCTGAAAAAAGCTCAGCTCCTCTACCATGCTATATAAAATGAAAAGATGACTTGAATTGGGCCTTACAACACAGCCACTGTGTCTTGCCTTAACGTTCCAAAAGTAACCAATGCCACAATGTTTTACTTCTATCTTAAAGTGACACTAAACTCAGGAGTTAAATCTCCATACTAGTACCTTAACTATTAACAAAAATGTATCTTATTTGTGTATCACTCGGCTGTAGAGCCTCAAATCATCTCTGAATTGTCCTTCCTTCTGGAGGAGGGCTACTTTGTTCCCCATGGTCCCTGTGTGCGTTGTAAAGTAGTCACCGCTCCAAGCTCAGCCCCGTGATGGACTACAATCTCATGTTTAGTTTACTCATTTGTATTGCGATTGTAGTCTATCCCGGGAGTGAGCTTGGAGCGGTGACTACTTTACAACACACACAGGGACCATGGGGAACAAAAGTAGCCACCCTCCAGAAGGAAGGACAGTGTCAGCACCAATTCAGAGATGATTGGAGGTTCTACAGCCAAGTGATACACAAATAAGATACATTTTTGTTAATAGTTAACGTTTCTTGAATGTATTTGTAAGATTTTAGTCCTGAGTTTAGTGTTACTTTAACCTTCACTATCCAGAACTGAACAAATGAAAGGCAATGTGGGATGACAGGACTATGAGAGCTGCCACTGCTTACTTTTTATCACGGGTGCCGGTATCAAGGCCGCCATTAAGATCTCAGCTACAATGCCAAGTCATCGACTTGGAAAAAGCATGCAGTCAGTGAAGACAATCTGAGACTTCTTGTTCTGAGTACTTGTTTTGGGTCAGTGACCTACAATAGTACTTAAGCCAGGGAGTCTGCATAAAAGCCATTCTCAGAAGGTTAGCAGAGGCAGACAATACCTTTCTCCTGACAAGTGTCTATTAAAGGGTATGGCCAGCTTTTTTTTCTATGCTTTGGATACAGTGATAAGACCCAATGTGCTCACTTACAATGATTTCTCTGCACTTCTCGTAAAGTGATTTAAATCACTCAGATGTGAACCAAGGGCTAAGCGAGCCACTAATAGCAGTACAAACCCAACAGGGGATTAAATCCTTTTGGCTGGAAATACACTTTCCAGTTTGCTAATAATATTCATGTTAAACAAAAACTTTAAATCGTTGGTTCTCCACTGGTCGGTCATGACCCAAAAGGGGTCGCGACCCCTTGTTCAATAGGTCGCCATATGCCTTCCACTTTTCTAGGTGAAAGGCTCAGACTCCCCCTACCGCAGCACTGTCCATTCTTACACTGAGCAGCCATTCAAAATATGCTGCTCGACGCCAAGTGTCGACTTGAGGCGGGGTGGGTTGGGAGTATGGCCGCGAGGGAGCGGCATCCATACGTGCATTGTTCCTTCGCATGTCCTGTAGAGGTGCCTGGACTGGAGGAACATCACATTCTGGCTCCCAGCTACTCTACAGGTGCACATGGGAGCTGTACAAGCAATGCACATATTATTATTATTATTATACAGGATTTATATAGTGCCAATAGTTTGCACAGCGCTTTACAATATAAGGAAGACATTACAGTCACAATACAATTTTAGACAAGATGGTAAGGAGGGCCCTGCCCGTGATATGGATGGAGATCCAGCACAGCACAGCAGCCCACACTGCCGTGCGTTCCATTGCAGTGTGACTTGGGTCGCGACTTAATGACCGAGGACAAATGTGGGTCCTGAGGTTACACAGGTTGAGAACCACTGCTTCAAATGGTCCCAAGGGAGCTGATACAGCAAAACTTGGAACAAAAGTTGAGCACCTGCCCCACAGCAACCAATCATCTTCCAGAGATGGAATCCTCATTGTATGCTCAGAATTGGTAGATCCTGCTATATGCGATAGGCAGCAGCTTCCCTATAACTCCAGTTTTTATTGCACAATCTCACTGCGTTTTGGATTTTGACCTTGAATTTAACATGACTTGAATCTAACATGACTAGATCCTCTTAATAAAAAACGGATTCAAAGGAAAGAGGTAAAAAAGCTTGGCTGAGAGCAAGTCGGAGATTTCTTCTGGGAAATCTTTAAACAGGCTCGTTGTCCCGGTTCACCTAACGCTGCAAAGATTATTTGTCTTAGCAGAACGGAACAGATTTGTTAAAAATTCGCTGTAAGGTTTTTGCTGACCCCCCGGAGAACAGCCGTTCGGGGTGAAAACAGCTCAGCACATCGCCGATAAACCGTTACTCTCCCGCAGAGCATGGGGGTGGGGGTGGGGGATAGATCTGAGATGGTTACGGTGCGAATCATTAAAATCAAAGTGGATGAAGAGCGGAGATGTACGTGGCCTGAGAGGGAAATAGATGGATTTCAAGCTGAGAACAAAACGTACAGAACAAAATGTGTAGGAGGTAATTCGGGCTGGTGGAGCCACCAGGATCTGATATTTGTTTCAC